TATGGTCTGCTGGGGTAATAATATAGTGTAAAGCGCATAGAGCCTGCTGTTGAGCGGGGATATGCGCTATACAAATGCTATTTATTATTTATTATTATTATTATGTATATGGAACAGCATTGCTGACGTTCTGCGATGGGAGAGGAAAACAATTATAACGCCTCTGTCCTCCTGTAGATGCCTTGTATTACCACACACAAAAAGCTGCGCATGCACCGTTCTGTTTTGTGCTGAATTTGTTCTAAACGTGTAGATCCAGATGTAGGCCAACAGAAATTGATGATGATGATGATGATGATGATGATGATGATGATGATGATGATGATGATGATGATGATGATGATGATGATGGGGTCAATAAAGTCAATATTTTAGGAGTCCTTCTATTTTTAAGATTTATTCTTTTCGTGTGTTTTAAACGTGTCATTTTATTCAGGGTTCGTCAGGCTTCACTGACCCAATTGATTACTCTCAGTGAATGAATTTTAAGATTAGAAGAACTCGTGGAGTATTGACTACATTTACATATTTATGTAGTTTTTATACTACAAAATGCACGAAGTCAACAAGCGTCCATTGCGACGTGTTTTGGACTACAAAATCCTTTTGAGTGGGTGATTGGCGGGTGCTCTGGTGTGGTTTGCTCCTTCTTTCCTATCAAACATCTATCGTCCTTATCTCCCCTTGTTCTTTTTATGTTTGTTACTCTCTTGTAACACCTTTAATCTTCTGGCGCTCATATGACCTTATGCAGTTGCAAGCGCAGTAAAAACCTCTACTAAAACTAAACTAAGAAACCTTTTGTGCCACGATCCAGAGCTAAAACTCACAACAAAATAAATGTGAAAGCATGAATGGATTTATGGCTGACATAGATCTATACAGAATGTTGCAAGTGGAGGGAGATTGGGTAAGATGTGTTTTATGCGGTGGCAGAGCGGTTAGTGTGTTCGTCTCCGAAGCGGAAAGTTCGGGTCGAGCCTCGGTTCGCCCCCTCCTGCTCACCAAGCAGTAATGGGTACCTGACTTCGAGTTGGGGAAGTAAAGGCGCCGTGGAAAGGAACTGGCCACCCTACCACAATATGCCGAAGGCCCAGGAAGTTGTCTCACTTATAAGGCAATCCCCAATGTCCGGATTGGATTCGGGAGCAAAGTTACTTTTACAGAAAACATACAAACAATTAGAAGTAAGAGAGTCAGAGAGCTTTATTATTTAGTGCCTTCATACCTACAATTAAAATATTTCTTGTGTCATGTTTTGGCTCTGTTATGACACAGGTGTTTCTGAAAAATTAAATGGCCTAAAGAACAAATTGACCATTCACGAACATATACACGCACACATGGAAAAGGGCAATATACGCATTACGCATAACACATTACGCATTGCGCACTAGATCTACGCATTACGTACACATGGAAACGTGGCTTAAAGAAGAGAAACAGAAGCGAAAACTTTGACGATCTTTAGAATGTCGGGAGGCAAGGCAAACTTGACAAAATCATGTGACTCCTGCACATTATCTATTATTCAACTACGTCATTGAATAACTAGCAGTGAGCAGACCCGCATAGCATGTTGCGTTGTGTAGTAAATGAATGTGTTGTGGTGAATAAAAAAAGAAAAAAGAATGAGTATTGTGGTGTTACAGAAAAAGAGTACAGTTGATCTCGGATGAGTTGATCTCGTCGGGGGAGTAAAAAAACAACAGCTATAAATTCATACGAAGTTTAACGGGACGTGTAAAGAGGACAAGGTTCTTAGATCCAGAAAAAAGGATCAACTTAATTAACAGAAGATCAATTTTACCGAAGATCAGTTCAAGCGAGCTCAGCCCTAGCTGAGTCTACTGCAGTTGGTGTGTTGAAGGTCGTGTAGTTTTCTTGTTTACTCAGTTAGTTGAAGACAGTTAGTGCGTCTTGGTGTGTATATTTGTCAAGGTTCTTGGGGAGTTTACGCAAGACTCGAGTTTCTCGTGGGATTCAAAATGGACAAGAGAAGTGTGCGCGTCTGGATGGACGGAAGGTAAGCCTTGGTGTAAATCTTTGCCTCACACCACCCAAATACACACACACACACACTCACATCCACACACTTACACCTACACGCCTACCCCCTCCCCCCACCCCCCACACACTCACAGCCCAACAATCACACCCACTCATGTATAAAGGGAGGACTTTCGTAACGAGCGATCACTATGAGACAGAGTAGAAAAGGTAGGGGTTGGGTTAGGGGTAGGGGTTAGGGTTAGGGTTTGGGGTAGGGTTAGGGTTAGGATTTGGGGTATAGTTAAGTTAGGGTTTGGGGTAGGGTTAGGGTTACGGTTAGGTCTCTTCTTTATTGTGTTTGTTGGGGTGGTCGTTCGTTACGGAATTTACATTGTGTCTGTTTATATTTTATACAAACTTACCACCATACTTAATCTTTCCAAACACACACCTCAGACTTCTCCGTTCCTCCTAACCTCTGATAATTTTCTCACTCCTCCTTTGACGAACTCTTAGCATTTCTTTCATTCCCCCCTTGACATTAATTGATCCCTTACATTTCTCTTATTCCTCCTTGACTTCTGACCTCTGACCTCTGACACTCCACTCATATCTCCGTTGAACTCTGACCTTTTGACACTTCTACAACTGTTTCAGCTTCGACCTGCTTCACTGCGGACACGCCAACGCCATACGCCAGGTGAGTGCATGCTGTGAGCTGTTGGCGGCTGTGACGTCACATTTCTTGATGTGGATGGTTGGCAGCTGCTGTCTGGCCACTGTCTATACATATTAGATACATTTTTGTCCACGTCACTACGTCACCAACCTATTTCCCCTAGGCCTCAAACCCATAGAAAGGGAATAACCACTGCCCAGTCACTGGCTTAAATGACTAAATCTCTACTACATACAAGTACTTGCTACATTCACGACTCAAAAACGTTGCATCTGTACTTGGGGTCCTATCGCTGTTACATTTCTGATTGTTACTTCTCACCCTCAGAATTCATTACCTCTCACTGTCAGAATTTGTTACTTCTCTCTGTCAGATTTTTGTTATATATCTTTGGCAAAAATCGATAAATTGTTCACTGTCAGAATGTGTTACTTTTCTGTCAAAAATCGTTATTGCTTACTGTCATAATTTGTTACTTCTCACTGGCAAAATTCGTTACTTAGTCGTGAATCTGTTACTTCTCGGCTGTTATTTTTGTTTGCCGTTATTTGCTTTCAGGCCAGAGAGTTTGGAGACGAGTTGATCGTTGGACTGCAGCCTAGTGGTGAGTGGTTCAATTCCTTACTCCTTTTAAGATACGCTGGCCCTATTACTGCCGCCGGATCGCCCTTCCACCGCCACCGCCCCTCCCCCTCGCCCTTCACCGTTGTTACGTTTTTTTTATAGCAAACATCAGTGGTCGTTGCGTAAGATCTTGGAACTTGGAGAGAGAGATTTTGTGGCTTGAACAATCCTCGATCCGCAGAGGCTTTAACACACTGAGGACGCAAATTCTGGTCATTCAACAACGCTTTAGGGCGTGTTTTTGAGGGTGTGGTCTTTCTTCTTCTTCCTCGTTCTCGATGACAGCAGCTAGACAGTCAGTCCGATGTCGTGAACAAACTGTGTAGTTCGCTTCAACTCTGAAAGACTGCCGTAGAGTTTTCTCTCAAGGGGAGCCACATTCTGCCACGTCTGTGCGTGAAGGGTGGCGTAGCGCGGGCGGGCAGTGCTGGAAGATATGGTTGGCATCCTCTTGGTCATGTCCACATTCACAGATCGCTGTTTCTCCCACTTCTAATTTGGTGTGCATATGGTGTTTGAGTCTGTTGTGTCAACAACGGAGTCTAAAGATTGTGACCTGGTCTGCTCTATTTAGTATGTAGTACGGGTCATGTCTGTTGTGCTCAGGGTGGGACCTTTTCCATCTGTTTCTTAAAGCAGTTTTTGTTAGTGTTTTTGACTCTGAGAGAGGGTGTGGTCTATAATTCGCTGTGATTACTAGACGAGCCAGAATCACGTGAAATAAGTGAACAAACTCAGTGTAGCCTAGTGAGTGTAGGAGAATAAGGGAGCACGGGG